CAGACCACATCAAAAGAAGTAATTCACTAAAAGAGAGAGAGAAATTTCAAGTAGAAAAAGGAACAGGATAGCAATGGTGTGGTAGTTCAGGCAGCTGGATCCCACATGGCTGGCTGCTTGATTTGAATCCTGGACCTGGTAGCTTGAAAAACACACTTGGGTCAGGTGTGTGTGTGCCCAAAATCCCAAGAGGAGAATTGGAGAAGGGCTTGCAGTGTGGCCATCACCCCTGGGAGGCGGGGTATGTGTGATTTCTCACTTTCCCTTTCTCTCTCTCTCTCTCTCTCTCTGTATCTCCAGCAAGCACACATATCTTAGAGAAAAAAGGAAAAAGAAAAAGAAAAAGAAAGAAAAAAGAGAGAGAAGTATTAAGTTGAATCCAATAAATAAAGAGTAATGTTTCATGTGAACACACTGGAAAAAAGATTGAAATGTCTTTGAATTTGTTAAGTATTGACAACAATAAAATTACACAAAATGCATGCTACCCCCACCACCATGAAGGAGCACCGGCAAATGGGGTGAACACGGTCATAAAGTAGTTAAGATTCATTTGCACAAGAAAATTGAAATCCCTTGAAATCTTGTATGAAAATAGCTTGACAATTTTTGAAACAATCTTAAAATGTTACATGACACAGAAAGCTATGAAGCTGAACAATTTTTTCAAAATTATCAGTAATGAAGAATAAATCTCAAAATACTGTGCTGATAAAACAACTGAAATATTTTAAATTATCTCTATAGAAAATTATACTTTAAAACTATTTGCATTTGAAGAGTTGACCAGTGTATGCAACCTAGAAATGCAGGAAAGATTTTGGAGAAGCATGTTGGACAGTTAAAAATATTATCATTTTGGGGACCAGCAGTTGACATAATGGCTATGTTGCTGGACTCCCATGTCGTCGACTGCAGTTTGAGTCCCGGACCCGGTGGCTTAAACTCACACCAGGCATGTGTGCGTGCGTGCCCAAGATCCCGAGAGGAGAATGGAGGAGAAGGGATTGCGGCATGGCCATCCTCCCCTAGGGGGTGACTTCTCACTTTCTGTCTCTCTGTCTCTCTCTGTCTTTCTATAGGGTGCATCTGCCCTATAGTAAAAATCTCTCAAAAAAAAAAAAGATCAATTTTTCTAAATTCCATGATGTTAGTCGCATTTGTTATAATTTTTTCTCATTCACTTTCATATCTGATTTTGTGTCTTTAACCTTATATGAATATTAAAAAAAAACAAAAGCAAAGCTTTCCACAATTTGTAGTAGCTTTAGGACTCACAGAACAGGCTCTGCTCCACTTCCAGTTAATGCAGTGGGAGCCTTCGAAAAGTTCTTGGAAAATGCACATTAGGAAGAAATTCTGAATGAATTTCAAATTTAGAGGAGGGGGCACCAAAATAAACTCATACTTTAATTCCATTTTTTCATGAAGTCCCCTCATATTGAGTTTACTACTTGGTTTTTAACATTGAGAATGTTACCAAAATTTTTTTAAAGAATTATTTATTTAATTTAATTTATTATTATTATTTTTTAGTTTGCTGCATGAGTCATGCACTTACCAGAGAGGGAGAGAGAAAGTGAGAAAGCAAGTTGCCAGGTCTGGGACTCGAACTGCAGTTGGCCATGTGGGAGTTCAGTGCCTTAATCACCATGCTACCTGCTGGCCCCATTACCAAATTTTTTAATGCCTCAGTTTGTCTATGAAATGAGAAGAATAATCAATAGTGTCTCTTCAGAAGCCCTCGAGGGCTCTAGGGGTATGAGAGAACACAGAGGTAGAAGAGGTTGGAGAAAGGAAGATAGAAAGAGAGAGATACAGAGAACATGTGAAAGAACTTTAAAAAAAAAAAAGAATTATTTATTTAATTTTTATTTATTCATTCATTTATTTTAATTTGACCAGAAAAAGACAGAGACACAGAGAGAAGGAAAGTGAGATAGCAAGCCACCGGGTCTGGGACTCGAACTATTGTAGGCCAGTGCCTTAACCACAATGCAACCTTGAGGCCCGTGAAAGTACATTTTAAGGTGTAGAACAATCTGTAATGAAAAAAAGACAAAATGATAGTAATGCAGTATTTCTATCGCTCTTGAGTTCCTCCTGCTGCTGTCTACGCCGGGCAATGCTCTTCTGTTCACTTTTTTACTGACAGCTATGTTCCCATTTTGACCATATGAAATGGACAGACTGATTTTCCTGTTAGTGTTTATTAACCTGCAGGTATGAGGAGAATAAGAACCCCCAATTTGTTTTATTCACCGTTTTTTTCTTTTAGTTTCTGATGTAACTCAAAACCATTTCTAAGTAATACTGAATTTGTGAAGGAGTTAGGAGTTCTGTACTCAGAATTATTATCCAAATTCTATGAAATATTTTTATTCTGGACCAAACTGTTTCAAGTATTTCTTCTGATGGAGCGTTCTACCTTCTGGGCTACAGCATGGTACAGTGTGGCAAAACCCACGTCTCTGAGAGCCCATGGGGAACCACCCTGGCTGCCAACGTCTGTGTCCTTGGTGCTCAGAGCCCCATGTCCTTCACGAATCAAATTGAATCCCACGTCTCAGCTCACAGCCCACTTCCAGGTACCAAATCCCATACGCCAGAGTTCCCGGTCTGAGGCCACCAGATGGCATAGCATTTATGATGCTGGACTCCCACATGGCTGACTGCAGTTAATTTCTAAGTAATACTGAATTTGTGAAGGAGTTAGGAGTTCTGTACTCAGAATTATTATCCAAATTCTATGAAATATTTTTATTCTGGACCAAACTGTTTCAAGTATTTCTTCTGATGGAGCGTTCTACCTTCTGGGCTACAGCATGGTACAGTGTGGCAAAACCCACGTCTCTGAGAGCCCATGGGGAACCACCCTGGCTGCCAACGTCTGTGTCCTTGGTGCTCAGAGCCCCATGTCCTTCACGAATCAAATTGAATCCCACGTCTCAGCTCACAGCCCACTTCCAGGTACCAAATCCCATACGCCAGAGTTCCCGGTCTGAGGCCACCAGATGGCATAGCATTTATGATGCTGGACTCCCACATGGCTGACTGCAGTTCGAGTCCCAGATCCAGTGTCTTGAGAGTCACACGGGTCGCATGTGGATGTGTACCCAAGATTCCAGGAGGAGAATGGCAGAAAGGGGATTGTGGTGTGGCCATTCCCTCGGTGGGTGACTTCTCACTCTACCTCTGTCTCTCTCTCCATCTTTGTCTCTCTCACTGGCAAGCACACGTGCCCTAAGGCAAAGACCTCTTAAAAAAATAGTTCTTAGACTAGGGACCAGCAGATGGCCAGTAATGGCTATGTCTCTGACTCCCACGTAGTTGATTGCGGTTCAAGTCCTGGACCCAGTGGCTTAAACTCACACCGGGTGTGTGTGCGTGCGTGTCCAAGATCCCAAGAGGAGAATGGAGGAGAAGGGATTGAGGTGTGGCCATCTCCCCTGGGGGGTGATTTCTCGCTTTCTGTCTCTTTATCTCTTTCTGGTGAGCGCACATGCCCTATACCAAAAAACAAACAAACAAAAAACCTCTCCCCCCCAAAAAAATAGTTCTTAGTCTCAACAGCACTAGTATAAACATAAGGGGATTTCTGACGTCATTGGGTGGCTCATGGAATGTGGGGAGGGCCGGCCATACAACCTGTTTCAGATGCCATTCAAGACTACACAGAAAAAATAAACCCATGGGAGTTCCAGGAAGACCCCGCTGCACCCGCAGGTAGGATGCCCAAGGCAGGGAGCACCCCTCGGTGGTCCCAGAGCTGCCACGTGGCTGCCCCCACACTCCCGGAAGATGCCACTCCCTCTCATGGCTCATCCAGTCCTTGGCCACCACCTTCACGCTCGGGCCGTGCCTGGACGCTGGCTGCCGGGAGCCAAGACGTGTGTCTGGCTTCCAGCTCCTGCTGCAAGGCCGGGCAGGCCGCAGGGAGTGAGACGAGGGCAGAGCGAGTCAGCCTGCAGGCCATCGCTGTGGGACTTGGGGCAAGATGCTTGACCCCGCCAACTAATCCATCTTCCTAATACCCAGCATGAGGATTCTGAACCCCACGAATTCCAAACGTTCTTACAGGAATACAATTCTGGGTCTGTGCGCAGCGGGATTCTGGATTCTGGAGGTGGGTCCTCACATGAACTTGCGGCAGTGAGTCCGTGGGGGAGGCGCAGGCTGGAGCTGGCTGCGCGGGTGTCCTCCAGGTCTGGGGCCTCCTCGGCTCCCTGTGCATGATGACTGTCCAAACCAGCTTCTCAAAGTTGGGGCGGTAACCCCACAGCACCAGCTCCCACCCCTGAGCCTCCGAGATCACGGATGAGCAGAAGGCTTTTCCCAGATGCAGTTTCCAAGGTCCGGAAGGGCTCCAATCAGCCAGGCGTGGTTTATGTGCCCACTCCCGAGGTCAGAGGGTGCGGTCTTTTTTCTTTTCTTTTTCCTTTTTTTTTTTTGAGAGGTTTTTGCTACAGGGTGGGAGAGCTTGCCAGAAAGACAGACAGAGACAGAGAGATAGAAAGCGCGAAATCACCCCCAGGGGGGATGGTCACGCCGCAGTCCCTTCTCCTCCATTCTCCTCTCAGGATCTTGGGCACACACGCACACGCGCCTGGCGTGAGTTTAAGTCACCAGGTCTGGGACTCAAACTGCGGTCTACTACATGGGAGTCCAGTGACATAGCCATTACGCTAACTGCTGGTCCCCAGAGAGTGGGGTCTTTGACCAGAAGTGCCATACAGGCAGACCCCCAGGAGAAGGTCTCAACGCACTCAGCCACCTCATTCTGTGACCAATGGCGACTCTGTAATCAGCTTGCTGTGACATGTGGTGTGACGTGATCACGTGTTTTCAGAAGTGCCTCAGTGCCGTGTGGCTTACTAGGCCATGCAAATGCCATTCGGGTCTTCCTTCAGGGGGCTTAAAATTTCTTTCTAGAGATAAAAGCAAACGCAAGAGTATGGAGTCCCAACTCTAAAGGAACTCTCTCATGGCTTTAGGGCAAGATCCGAGTTCTGAAGCAGGTGAAGATGGAACTTGAAGAAATGCATCAGCATTGCCAGGCATTCGCTCCGCATCTTATTCCTGAGCCAAATCATAGTTGGTTTGAAACATCACTGGTAAATTATAAAATTGATATTTTTTTAATTAAAGAATTACTTTCTTTAACTTTATTTATTTTTCATTTGACCAGAGAGGAACAGAGTTAGAGAGAGAGAGAGAGAGGGAAAGTGAGAAAGTAAGCCACCAGGTCCAGAACTCCAACCGTGGCCGGCCGTGTGGGAATCCAGCATCCTTAACCACCACGCCACCTGCTGGCCCCTAAATTTGATTTTTTTAAAATAAACATTTTCTTTTTCTTCTCCTCTCCTTCTTCCCTTCCCAGCCTCCCTTTTTGTCCTCCTTTTTCCCCTCCCACTTGCCCTCATACCCCCACTTCTTTGTGTCAACGGTGTTGATATTTACATAGCCTTTTCCTTTGGAAAGTTACATTATCGCACTAATGTGTTCTTTGCCTTTAGCAATAAATATGACAACAAGGTCCTTTGATTCCATGCTGTGGGAACATAGCTTCTATTAATGGGGGAAAATATCGACTATTTTCTCCTTGGAATCAAGGTAGCTCACCCTAAAAGGTATCTGAATTACAGATAGTGCTTTGCATATTAAGTTGCTTTTTTTTTTTTTTGCAACTAGGTTATTAAAAACGTGTGAAATTTCTCAGCTAGCCAATGTTCCTGGCTGTGATTCATCATACGGTCTCATTTCTTGGTGTATAATCTGAGGCACATGCATGCTAAGTAGAGAAAACTAATCACAGTGCATTCTGACAATAATCTGGATGTTTCAATAGCGTTGCTTTGTTGTTTCTGAAGCGGCACTGTTTCAGAAGTATTTTAAGTATTACATAAGGGTTTTATTTTCAGTTATTTTCAGTCTTGTTCGCCTCTGCATCTCAGAGGATTAGCCACGTGATTGGACTGGGTTGTATACTCACGTAAGTATATGTGCCCCTCATAAACCCCTCCTGAGTACACTTTGCACCCGTTACCATTTCAACAGTCCCGGCAGATGTGTTGGTGTTTTATTTAGTTCTTCTTTCTGGGAATTTCTAGTGCAATAGACAATAACCAATTAACATACTTCACAGCAAGAGAGGATTGTTCCTAGCATTTAAAAGCAGGACAGATCCATCCCTATAAGTGGATTATTATACCCACTTTTAATGAGACCAACATAATTTCAATGACTATTCCTTTTCCTTTGTACAGTAAATTGTTCCTAAAGCTAAATGAAAATCGTTCACATTCCAGGGATTTGATCTGCTAGTGCTCTATGGATAGTTGTGGTCCTGACATTAGACTTGAATGGAAAAATCTATTTGGAGAGACCAATGAAAAGAGCTGAAATAAATGTGTCTTCATGGAGCGAAATAAAACAAAAACGATAGCGATGGAGAAGAGGGTAACACACAGCAGGGTAACAATAATTGAAAATAAAACCCCACCTGGCCCACGGCTAGCAGGGAAGTAATACAGGAGGGTGATTAGTAGTTAGTCTTGTGAAAAGAATTCTAGTTAGGGACCAGCAGTTAGCGTAATTGCTATGTCACTGGACTCCCATGTAGTCAACTGCGGTTCGAGTCTCGGACCCAGTGGCTGAAACTCACGCTGGGCGCGTGTGTGTGCGTGCCCAAGATTCCGAGAGGAGAATGGAGGAGAATGGAGGAGAAGGGATTGTGGTGTGGCCATCCCCCTGGCGGGTGATTTCTCACTTTCTGTTTCTCTACCTCTGTCTTTCTCGCGAGCACGTGCACCCTATAGCAAAAACTTCTCCAAAAAAAAAAAAAAAGAATTCTAGTTAGAGGAAATAGGTGCGAAAGCCCAGTGGGAGAGCAGGGTTAGCAGCTATGGGGAAAACTTTGGAGAAGTTCTTTTTAGCTGCCTCAGAGAGCTGGGATCAACTGAAAGAGAGGTGTTAGGGAACGGATATCAGAGGAGGCCTAACGTGGGATGAGATGAGCAAGACCAAGAGAAATTGACCAAGTCAAAAGACATTTCTGAAGTAAAATTTACAGCACTCATTGATCAACTGGATTTGAGAAAGAAGCGAAAGAGGAGCTCAGGGATCATTTTGGACATCTCGGACAACGGGGAGACTGTGGTGCCACTCATGAACAAAGACAGTGTGGACATAGCAGGCTGGTGGAGCCCGTGGGACATTTCAAGATGTCCAGTAAAGAAGCAATGAAGTCTGAGGGTATGTCAGTGTACGGGCACTAATTTCATACCAACGTGCAAAGGATTTGTAAGAGGCTCCTTCAAATTAGGCCTCCAAGGATCTGCCACAGGAGAAGGAAACTGAAGGCAGATGCTTTGCAAAATTAGAGGGAAGTAAGCCTTCCAAAAATGATTGAGCAGTCACAGTGTCAAGTGCTACAGGGAGGTCAAACAAGATAAGAACGGAACAGTTCCCATTGGATTTTGCAATAAGGATGTTACTGGTGACCTTAGCAAAACACTGTCAGTAAGGCGGTCAGTGCTGGGTCCAGATGCAGTGGGCTGAAGAATGAGTTGGAAATAAGGAACTGGAGATAGTGAACGCAGACGACTTTTTAAAGA